TCACAGTCTTCTGCTAGAGCCAGCCTCTGTTCTCAGGCACACGTCTGATCATGCTGCCCGGCATCTCCCACTGTCCCCTAAGAATGGCTGAGCCTTTCCTGACCTGGCTCCTCTCTTCCTATCCCTTCCCTACCTCCCAAGCTCCAGCCACAGATACGGCGGACAGGGCTGCTTCGTCCCCAGCAGCCAATCCCCTCTCCTGGGCAGAACTCAGTTTTAATTCAGGAATCCCCTGCCCCTGGCAGCCCACAAATCTGGGGTGGGTCCCCTGAACCCCACCCAGGGCTGGCTCCCGAGGAGTCTTGTCCTGCCCCAGCCCTCCAACCCCTCTGCCAGCTCAGAGATCCAGGCAGCACCAGCATGTCTCTCGTGATGTCGTGAGTGTGGGGGGCACCTGGGGACTGAGAGAGCCCCATCAGGACCCTTATTTCATCTCCTGCCCAATATGAACGAGGAGCCCCATGTCCCAGTGGCTTCTGGCCATAGCCGGGGCAGCAGCAAAGAAGGGGGAAATTATAGAGTAGTCCTAGTTGGCTAAAGCTGACTTAACCCCCTGAGACAATGAACAACACCCTTTTGGACACTGGCCCCCATTCCCAGCAGGAAGGACAAGCCCATGGTTCAGAGGAGCTGGTGCTGTGTTAACAGAGGGCAGAGATACCACTCAACTACTTTTGCTTCCAATCTTTCCAGCAAGAAGGAGGGTCTTCGCACTGGAAAAAGGACAAGAATGTATGGCAGGGAGTGGAGTCCATCTCTGGCTGCTTTCAAGGTCCTCTGTCCTCAGGATGCTGGACGGTTTGCAAGAGGAGCTGGCCAATCTGAGCCAAACAAGGAGGGTGTGCTGAGAGCACCACAGACTAGTCCCAGACCTTGACCTTAATCGCAGAGAACCCCGGGCCCAGAACAGCCTCGCGAAGGTGCCTGCAGGTGTTTCGAAGACAATCATAACAAGAGCAGCAGCAGTCCTGACCATGTGCCTATCCACAGACCCCAGACTAAGCACATCCCGTGGGAACTGGTCCAAGTTCCACCATAACCCAGTGGAACGGGGACTATTATCATCCCCACTTTACGGATGAGTAAACAGAGGCCGAGAAAGGTTAGGGAAGATAAAAAAGCAAGACATAAGAAGCCAACATGGGGGTGCCTGGGTGGCTCAGTGGGTTAAAGCCTCTGCCTTCGGCTCAGGTCATGGTCCCAGGGTCCTGGGATCGAGCCCCACATCAGGCTCTCTGCTGAGCAGGGAGCCTGCTTCCTCCTCTCTCTCTCTCTCTCTCTCTCTGCCTACTTGTGATCACTGTCTGTCAAATAAATAAATAAAATCTTAAAAAAAAAAAAAAGAAGCCAACATGGTTTCAGACCATAGTTCTACGTACTTGTCATAATCTGTCTGCTCCCACATATTAGGGACTTTCAGGATTTGAACAGTGGTGTTTCCCCTCATCTTTGCATTCTTTAAAAGGTCAACCTTTGTGTCTCAATTTCAGGTACTCATGTTTTTATCCAATTTTCTTTTCTTCTCTTTTCTACTATGATTCCTAAGCCAATAAATCAGGGGGATGCCAGAGGCCAACCTCCTATATACATAATACCATTACTAATTCAAGTGTGTACTTTTTCCAGACTTCCTTAGTTTTTATCTAATATCCTACCCTTATTCCAGGATCCCACTTACATTACATTTAGTTATGTCTCCCTAGGTTCTCTGTGGCTGTGACAGTTTCTCAGACTTTCCTTGGTTTTGATGACCTTGACAAATTTGAGGAATACTGATCAGGTGTTTTTCAGAATATCCCCCAGTTGGGGTTTGTTTGACATCTTTCTTGGGACTAGATGGGGGTTATAGGTTTTGGAAGGAAGACCGCAGAGGTAAAGCGCCACTTACGACATCACATCAGGGGTACACCCTGTCTACATAACTTATCACTGTTGATGTTGACCTTGATTGTGTGGCTGAGGTAGTGCTTCTCAGGCTTCTCTGCTGGCAAGTTACTCCTCCCCCCTTTCCATACTGTGCTCTTTAGAAGGGGGTCACTTGCACATCTGACACTTCACTTACAGGGTAGGGACTTACGCTCTACCTCCTTGATAGGGAATTATCTATATAAATGATTTCTTTTGTATGGGAAAGTCACCTAGTATTTATTTATTCATTCATTCAACCATTTACTTATATTAGTATGGCCTCACGGTTGTTGTTTTTTAATACTTCGCAACCTAGTATATTTTGATGTGTGCAAAGGATTCTGGCATCCCTGGTGTTCTGGGGGGGTAGTTGGTAAAATGTGGGTGACCAACTCTGAGAGGTTCACCAAACCCCCATATCTAACAAACAGCAGTTTTCCACTGTTGAACACCAGTAGGTTGGGGAATCAGGGTCTCCACCTAATTTTTGAACAAATGAAATAGAAACCATTCAAGCACATAGAATTTTGAAGGGATCCCTACCTGTGGAGAAATGACTTTCCTCCCTGTCGTCAGTAGGGCAGCAAAATGTTTGTCTGTGGGTCTCAATCAACAATACAGGGTGAGTAGAACCGGCCCCTACTAGGCCCTGTCCGTGGTCCTGCCCTGTGTTTACAATCAGCCTGTGGACTCAGACATAAAGCACCTGCTTCTCCAACCAGCAGGCAGCATAGCATTTGAGAGTGTCAGAGGTAGGAATTTAAATTCTATTGTCTAATTCAATGGGATGAAATGAACAAGATGAAGTTTAATAGGAATAAGGGCCAAGAACAGGTTTCGATTCAAGAAATCACTGACACAGACAAGAGGCCTGATCTCTTCAACAAGTCAGTATTATTAAAAAGATAATTCCTTTTTTAGAAAAGGAACTGCAGTAGAGTGGAGAGGCCTAAGGGGCCCAACAACTGAGGCATTGCACAGCTCAAGAGAGAGGAAACTGGCTTAAACAAAACAGCAAAAATTGACATTTTGGGGCCAAACAGGGAAATGTGAATAAGGTCTGCATGTTAAATGAGATGAAAATTTACTGAAGCAGAAAGTGCTGATCATTTACTGGAAAAAAAAATCAGGTTACAAAACAGTATGCACAGCATGATCTCATTTTATGAGGGAAATCTACATACAGGCATAGAAGCAGGGCTGGAAGGATGTGACCAAGGTGCCACAGCAGAGCTGCCTGGGAGATGGGAACATAATACTTTTATGTTTGCTTGCTCATATTTCTAATTTCCTACTGTGCATATAAACCACTTCTGTAATAATATAAGATTATGCTATAAAAAGAAGGAAACTGTGACCCTTCTCTGGGATTGAGGGGAATCCTAGTGTGGCAGAGGTTTCTAAGAAAGATCTTGGGGGTTATGGGTGCCAGAAAGACAATATGAATGGAAAGTGTGGTCCACCAGGCAAAAGGCAGCCTCACCTTGAACACCTACAGTTGTGTTAGGTGCTGGAATGGGAGCGGTCCTGCGGTTCTCCTGACCCAGGCCCTCTGTGCTATTACTAGGAAAACTGAGTCACACAATTAGTAGATGGCAGCTCCAGGACCATAAGCCACAGATCTGGCCCCTGCTGGTCATATGGAAATGGCTGGCGCTTCAGGAACGGGGGTATTCGACCCGGAGGAGTAAAAATGGGAAGGAGTGGACGGGAAGGAGTGAAGGGGGCAGGAGAGCTCTTTTCAGATATTTAAAGGCTTCCCCATAGAAGAGAGACCCATGTGTGGCCTCGTGCCGAACGGTAATGACTCTGTGACAAGTGGGTTTGGCTCTAAGAATGCAGGAGGGAGAAATTTCCAACAACAGTAGTGGTCCAGCTCGGGGACAAGGTGGTGGTGCCTGCTGGGGACTCAGGTGGCCTCAGAGGGCGCCGCTGTGAGGGTTTGCCTTTGGGGAAGGGGAAGGATCACGATGGCTGCAGGAAATGTGGGCTCCAACAGGAACCACAGCACTGACCTTCCTGGGACAGGGTACCTGGTTCTCAAACTTGATACCTGCTTCATCGTCTTTCACCTACTGCTCCCAAACCCTGGTCATAGAAGGGGGCTATGGAGAGATGATCATCTCTCATGTCCCCTCCACTGGGTGACAGAGAGGCATGGGTCCTATCTAACCTCATCCTGGCTTCTCCTGTGGACTAGGCCTGAGGTGCTCCAGGAACGGAATACCAGTCAGTGGCCCGCCTGAGACCCTGGGCCCCCATACTCCCCATGCAGAGCCTGAGGCCTTAAGTGGCCTTGGAAACTCACTAGGCAGGGCTTCTGTTCCTAGGAGAAAACCGGAGCATGTCCGAGTGGGCAGTGACAGGAGGGTGGGTGCCCTGCCCTGCCTCCCAGACAGAGCCACCAGTCCCGGTGCCCATGGCACAAGAAGACACTAGCCGATGGGGGCATTTATTCATATTCCTCTGCCCACCGCGTCTGCCAACACCCATCCTCTGATTCTTGCCCTGATAACAACCGACAGAACTCTTGCTCTTCCCAGATAGACGCGACCTACCACGGAGACACTCTGCAAGCTTGGCTCCAGCGGGCCTGCGGCAGCGAACACCGCCAGCTCCCTGCCAGGCCTGCCCATCCTAGCCCGAACGAGGGTCACCAGGGGTCGTCATCCTTCCCTGTGCGGGGTGGGTGCCGTCAGGCAGCAGAGCGCCCCTAGTTGGCCCCTCCACCCCCTGGCTGAGGCCCAGCCGGGCGCACGCGCCAGCCCCCACCCCGCGTCCTGGAATTCCGTTCCCACAGACCCGGGGCGGCCCGGAGGCCGGGTTCTGACAGCTCCTGCCCCCCCAAACATGGGGTGGGTTCTCACACCCATCAGAGGGACTCGCACTGCGGGGGAGGGAAGGTGGGCAGGGAGGTCACCCTGGGCTGTGGGGGAGAGCGGGGGGTCCCACCGGGGCCGGGGATTGGGGGGTACCGGGGGGACGGGGCGCCCACTCGGGCGGGGTTAGGGGCTGCCGCCAGCGGGGCCCGTCCTGGCAGGCAGAGGGCAGGGACGCTGGCGGGGCCCGGGGACGCGGCGCGGCGCCCTTACCTCCTCGCCTTGGCCGAAGCGCAGCCCCAGCGCCGCGACGCGCTCCACGCGCAGGAAGCCGTCGGGGTCGCGGCCGCACACCTCGAACACCTCGCGCAGGCGGCGCACGGAGCGCAGCAGAGCCGCGGGGGCGCCCGCCCAGCCCGCGCCGCCCGCCATCCGGCCGGCCCCGCGGCTAGCCCAAGCGCCGCGCCGCCCGCCGCGGCCGCCGCAGCCCGCCTCGCGCCGC